TGTGCCCTATCCCCTTGGAGTCTGTCTTTTCTTGAGACAAGGTGTCTGATTAAATAAATGCTTCTAAGAACCCACCCTTCAGCTGCAGCCCTAGGCTATGGCTCTTCCTCACATGCTACATATGCAACGGGAAAACAAATGGAGCCAGGGCAGAAGTCTGAACGCTGTCCCATTATCACGGGTACTGTACACACCTTGGCATGATTTTAGCCTTGGACAAACAGTGCCCTTCAAGCAGCATCTAGACATGGTCCAAGGATAGCCCAGGGCAGGGACTATCCCCAGCCGAAAGCCTGGATGCGGCTGCAGTTGACTGAGAAGCAGGGAGTCAAGCTGCGTCACTTGGCCTCAGGGGCCAAATGTAGATGAATCCAAGTGTGTTTACAAATCCATTGCTGTGGATTATCCGCTGTGGACTAACTGCTTGGTGAGCTCTTTGAAGGCAAATGGTCTCAGCTGTTCACCTGCTAGCATCCCTGGGTGAACAACTGTTTACGGCGAGCTCAGCTCTTGCATTTCTTGTGCTCACCCGGGTGAAAGCTCAGCATCTGAAGGTACTTGCTGGGGCCAGCAAGGGCAGTAACCAGGAAGCTTTTCCAAAATACAGCATTATTTGCCTTTAGCTGTAGGGATTACTGAGACTATTGATCATGTAAAAATAACTATTCATGTCAACTGCATTTAGTCCTGCCAAGTCTATTACCTGAACAACCTCTTTGTTCTGTCTGTGCTGCAATCTCACATCACCTTCTGGACTAAGTGATCTGTCATCACATGTCACGTATGCCACTTGGAACATTTCTGAACTCACAGCTTTGTGACTGTTTTCTACGGCTTCCCCAAACTTGCTCCTTTGTTTCATTTACATTAATTACCCCTGCTGAGCTTAAGTTCCTTATGGTCCTGGTTCACAGGGGTACAAGTGTCTTGAATTTTCCACCTGCCTGAAGCTTCCTATCTGGTGCTCCCGGATCCCTCAACTTACAGCTTCCTGCGGTGCTGGGAAACTCAAATCTTTCTCCTCTACAGCCTTGAGTAAAATTGCATCTGGGGACATCTGGGCATGCAGGGTCTTCATTTGTGCTGCTGCCTGCAGAGCTCATGGACCCTCAGCAAGAAAGCTGGCTAATGCCTGAACATCATGACTGAATCTGCCCTTGTAGGACAAGTCCTCTCTCCTGAGGCTGACTGGTGTAGCTGGGCCACGTTCATGCTAGAGAAATCCTTTTGCCACCAAGGGACGGCCACATGCAGACTACCTGTAGGGAATAGTCTCTTGCCCTGGTAACTCCCAAACCACACCTCAGTCACATTTGGCGTAGTGCTGCTGCATCTTGCCAAAGCTGGGCCATGAACTGTTCCAAATGTCAGCCTCTAGGCGAATTAAACCCAGAGCCTGTGCCCTCGTATTGTTTAAGTTGCTAGTATAGGTGTAGCCTGTGCCATGGGGAAAGGGCAAGAAGTCACAGGTTCTCAAGAACGGAATTTCCAGGCGGAAAAGTTAATGGCTGGTATTTTCACAGGCCCAGGTGAGCAGCTGTGAGACCTCAGGCTGCCTAGGTCACCCTGGGGTGAGCAAACCATGAGTTATGGCCTCCATCCCTCATGCCAAAGTACACTTTTGCTCTCACCTGTGCTGGAGTGCTCCCAAGTCTGCAGGAGGCACCTGGACACACTTCAGGTGACCTCCATCTCTGTCCCAGGAAACACACACCTGCTGATAGAAGGCCTGGAAATGCAAAATCTTCCACCCTGTATTGCCCATTTGCATTCCCCTTGCCCACCCAAAACACCCCAAACCTGTATTAAAACTCTTTCTGTGAATTTAATTCCAGATCAATAACCTGTATTTACAGCTGACTATATTTAAGCCTGATAATAACACATAATGGCTTTTTTATATTCCAGCCAGGTGCAGCCAAGCTCGATGCAAGATCAATTCACTCCGGCCATAGCAAACAACCAACCTCTCCAGGTCCACAATCCCTATTCACCTGGGCTGGAGACACTCCAAAGCAAGGTCTGCAGTGCTGGGCACAGGAGGGATCCCCCAGATGGTTTTGCTCAAGCACTCGTCTACTCTGAAGCTCATTGTGATCGCTGAAGTCAGCAGTCCCAAGACGTGCTTCAGTTCGAGATCCTGGAAAGGTGACAAGGTCTGGCGTGGGGATGGAGGCAGCTGTGTCAAAAGCCCATTAGCTGGCAGGGGAACTTGCAGACCTGATGCCTAAACCTCTACTCCATGCCAGCTTTGCCCGTCCTTCCCAAACAGAGCTTCCTCCTGCAATGCAAGGTGGAGAAGAAAGCATACCACAAAGAAATCCTGTGGGTTGGGACTGGCAAAGGAAGCAGATTATTGCATGTGCAGAGCTTTAACCACAAGAAACTTCTGGGCTGCTTTATTTGACTGTTCCTTAGTTTGTCAAAGAGGAACTTGTCCTGGCTTTATTACAGCTTTTATTATTGGGTGACACATTTCTGGTGATAGTGACTGGCATGCGCAGCTCAATACACAGAGGAACACGCCACCGATCCCTCCCAGCATCTGTGCTCTGCTTTCTTCTCCTCTTTTCCTGGTTGTGTCATTCACTTCGGTGCTCACCTTCACAGCGCGCTTTCTCACCAGGACCAAGACTGGAGGTGAGTTGCAACAGTCCTTTCTTTTTTTGGTAGCTATTGGAGGAGGAACCTGACTGCAGCTGAGAGAGAAAGGCACCAGGAACAGGAGGGAGGGGGTCTGCGGACACCTCTTTTCACCTCTGATTGCAGGGAGGCATTGCTTCCCTATTTTCATATCCTCTCTGTCAACAGTATAGGTACCCCTGATAGACAAGAGAAGAGGTGACAAGTGCCACACCCACCAGTTTCTGCTGGAAATCCTGTTGTTTTGAAGATGTTATAGCTACCTGTAAGACCACGGTGGAGCAAGTTGTCGCTGTATGGGCTTCGTGGTCCTTAGGCCAATGTTGCAAATAAGAGGCAGAGACCAAGCATGCGATCATGACTGTCCTTTTAGACAGTCCAGATTACTGCAAAAGCAGCAAGACCCAGGCTTTGGGGCACAGGTAGCAGCCCCTTGCTCTTAGAGACCATAGCAAGAGGATGAGTAAAAGCAATGGGGTGCTGCAAGCCTGAAAGGCCATGACTGGTCTCCTCTAGTACAGCGGAGTAGCTCGCAGGGTGCTGGTGATGAAAGTGCTGCTGGTGGTGCTATGACAGAGACTGTTGGAAGTCAGGGGGTGGTGGTGGTCACATAGGAGCGAGCTGTGCTGAGAAGGCTGCGGCTACTGGTTGCAGGACACTGAAGCAAAGCACACAAACAAGGCTAAACATTAACCAGCACAGATAAGCTGTCCTGAAATATTCAAATGAGGTAGTCAAACAAAAGACAAGGAAACACGTATAGCACCAGCCTACACACCAGAATGGTTTACAGGTAGCCATCAGATCCCCTGCAACCATGGGGAAAGGGAGCTCCCCCCCCCCACCATCGTGGTGTGACACTGACCTCAAAATCCAGTTTGTGGTTCATGGGCCCATTGGCCCATTCTTCTGGTTCACGTCCTCTTTTTGGGGATCCCCTTGGGGTCTTTTTCTTATTTTGCCCGCACACATATTCGCCTGAAGTTGGCATTTTGTTCTGGTTCTCCATGCTGGCAGGCAGCATTGCCTGTGTCTTCCAGTTTTGCCCCATGCGAAGTCCGAAGCCTGTCCCAGTGCTCCTGTTGTCCTGCTGGGCTGGGCTTGGACGCGAGGGCTCATCTTTGCACGTGACAGGATTTGTGCTGGGGGACCCTTGGTGGCTTCCTTGGAGGGGTCTGTAGCCCTTGGGCAATATTTTGACTTCTCCGTGCCCCCACCCTTTTGGTACCCCTCTGCCCTCGTGAAGTTCCTGCCCAGACGTGGTGAGTGGGGGATCCCAGCCTGGATATTTTATATCTACGCTGTTATGGCTGTATGTTTTTTGTCTCTATTGCTTTACAAAAATGTATATACACAGACATACATATATAGAAGTCTATATAAAATTTTTAAAATATAGACATATTTGTACATTCCTTTGTGTATATTTCTATATATTGCATAGAAGCACAAAATATACATTTATATGTAGCATATAGAGAGTACATAAATATATATATTCTTAATATAAGAGCATTTCCCAGTCCAAAGGAAGCAGGCAGCCAATCACAGGGCTGCCCGAGTACATGTGGGGAATGACACTGTCCAAAGTGGCGGTCTCCCATGGGGGAGGACATGAGGGTCCTTTTCTGATGTGCTTCAGGCTACCCTGGTAGCTAGACCTGCCAGACAACCACAGGGCTGCCTGAGAACACGTGGGAATGACGGTGTCAATAAATGGCTGTCAGCCAACCACAGAGCAGTATGATGTTTAAAAAAGTGGGCCGCTCCCTGCTGTGCCATGGTGGCGCCCTCTCCTAAAATGGCAGCCAAACCGAAAGGGGAGCCCCGTGCAGGTAGAGGAAAGGCCTTCCGGGTCTGACATGCTTCGGGGTAAACCAGAAGGCGTGGCTGCCCTTGCCAGTCAGTCACAACAGAGGACATGATGGAAGAGAGGGAACGACTTCCAGGCCCTAAGGCTGCTGGGAGGGGGCGGTACTTCTGGCTGGTGCGTGGGGCACGTGGCGCTGCTCCGCGAATCTCAGCGGTGCGACGGGCAGCTCGCGGCTCCTCTGGGAAATGGCGGGCGGAAGGAGGGGCTGAGGAGGAAAAGCAAGGGGTGGTGGTGGAGGGACGCCTGGGGTCTGTGGAAGGGCAGGTGTGCCCCGTGGGTGAGCGTATGTGGAAGCGCCTTGTGTATGGTGGCCTAGAGGCGACCTTGCTTTCTGCCAAGAGGCGGCTGGAGGTAAAGGTACTTCAGGTGCCCTGAGCCCCTGCCCGTACCTCCCTGCCAAACCGGGTACCCAGAGCCACCTTCCTGCTGGGCCGCTGTGCGCCCCTCACTCGTTGTCCTGTCTGTGGTGTTTGCAGATCCAATCATGGAGGTCGTGGAAGGGAAGAAGATCTCCTGGAAGAAACTTGCCTTCCTGTTCTTCATCTTCGTCTCCTGTCTCTTTGTTTCTCTTCATCAGTTCAGGACTTCTGAGCCAGACTATTACGATTTCAATCTCTCTCCACAAACAGCCTATGATGGAAATACCAGCGCCCCACCAAAGGCTGAACACCGGCTGACCATCCTGCTGTGGAAGTGGCCCTTTGGGCAGCATTTTGATTTCATAAACTGCTCGGAGTACTATGGCGTCCCGGACTGCCACTTCACCGTTGACCATCGCAGGTTCCAAAGGGCTGATGCTGTGATAATGCATCACAGGGATGTATACTGGGAAGCGAAGGGGCTGGCCCAGCTCCCCAGACTCCCATCACAGCGTTGGATCTGGTTCAACCTGGAGTCCCCAACTCACTCTCCAAACTTAGGTGCCATGAACAACCTCTTCAACCTGACCATGTCTTACCGGAGAGACTCGGACATCTTCACCCCTTACGGGGAGCTGCAGCTCCTTGGCCAGCCCCAGTCCCTCAGCATCCCACCCAAGACCAAGCTGGTGGCCTGGGTAGTGAGCAACTGGGTAGCGGGTTCCCACCGCGTAAAGTACTACGAGGAGCTGAAGAAACACATCACCGTGGATGTCTATGGGCTTCATCACATGCCCCTGCCCCGCGACAAGCTCATTCACACTGTGTCTCAGTACAAATTCTACCTGGCTTTTGAAAACTCACAGCATGAAGACTACATCACCGAGAAGCTCTGGAGGAATGCCTTATCCTCTGGCACCGTCCCTGTTGTGCTGGGGCCTCCTCGAGCAAACTATGAGCGCTTCTTGCCCCCTGACTCCTTCATCCATGTCGATGACTTTGGCAGCGCCAAGGACCTGGCACAGTACCTTTCGGAGCTGAGCGGGGATGCTGAGAGATACCAGCGCTACTTCCAGTGGCGCAGGTGGTTGAAACCTGTGCCGGGGGGCAGCTGGGCCCTGAAAGTCTGCAAGGCTTGTCACTTCTTGCAGACGACAGAGGCCAGGTACCAGGTTGTGCCCAATCTGTCTGGGTGGTTTGTGTAACTGCTGTTTGCTCAGTTCTCCTCTGTGCTGCAATCTTTTTTGTCTTTGCTGCGATTTCATGGGGCGATTGAACTTGGTAGAAATGGAGGGACAGGAGGAGCTTTGAAGCAAACAAAGAACAAGGAAGCAATTAAGTGTTTGCGTGTCTTACTGGAGAATAGACGGTCAGATGGGGTAGTATATTGTTCTCTTTGTCGATTTAATAATTACCTGAACAACTTGTTATGCTGGCTGCAGCTTGGTCTTCGGAGAGGCTCACTTTTAGTCTCTGCAAACAATTCTGGATTGGCTCCATGGGTTGAAGAGCCGAAGTAAGTGGCCAAGCAGGAAAGGTGAAACAGCAATACCTATCATAAACCTGCTTCGAGGACTTTGTACTGTGCAAAGGGCGGCCACGCCACAAGGCTGCCTGCTGCCGCGGGAGATAGCAGCTGCGCTCCTCTCTCCCAGCCCCGCGGCCCCAGCCCTGCCCTTGCTCTACCTTTGGCTCACTCTGACTGTCTTTGGGGTGGTGCATCAGGGTGCTAAATGGGCAGAAAACAATGTATTTTACAAGTCTGTTTTTTGGACAGGTTAGCAAGACGGTGTGGGTTTGAGGAGGGGTCGGACAGCAGCAGACTGGTGCACGTAAGGTGTGGGGTGCCAAGGACGCCCCTGAAGGAACTGTAAGTTTTAGTGCCTGCAGCACACCGTGGCAAAGAGATGTTCAGGACCAGCACGCGATGAGCTACCTCCTCCTCCTCTGTGCCTCGAACATTGCAACTTCTGGCATCAGCTGATGCCTCTAGGGCACGTGTTTAAAAACCAGTGAATGACTGGTCTTTATTGAACTTGCTGCAACCACTCAGGTTGTATCGCTGGAAATTATTTCCTTTTCAGGTTGGGGAGCCCCATTGCATGTCTCAGCAGACACAGCTGTGCCCTTTCCAGGTTCCCTGCTGATAACTCTGGGCATTCGGTTTGTTTTCCTGGCTGCTGCTGATCCCTGAGCTGAGCTTTTCAAAGGTCTGTCCTGACCCCAGGATGTTTTCATGAGGAAAATCAGCTCAGAGTCCAGCAATGCATATAGAGAGGCAATTGTTCTCTCCATCTGCAGCATTTAGCAAACATTTCCAAAGAATTCCCTCTGCATTTCCTCTTGTAGTCATTCTGTAGAAGAAGGACCATCAGCAAGACCTTGTCTTTAGCCTTGTGAGTCCCTATTTTCATTAGCAACTTTGCCACCTTCATTTCTTCTCTGCTTTGCAGATTGGTTGAATACATCGATCAGCACAAGTTTAAAAACGAATCCTTCACTCTGAAATCTGAACATTTACCGCTCCCATCTTTTTCCTGTCCGCCTAACAGTACCTGTCTAGCTGAGACATTCCTTGGGCTGCTCAGTTTCTTGAAAAGCCCTTGCTGGACCTTAGTGAACCCCTTTGGAAATTCAGGTAGAAAAATGTTCCGCATCTTCCTTAGCCATGTGCTTGCTGGCTGCTTCAAAGAAGAGCAATAAATTTGTGAGGCATCAGTTTTTATTGCTAAATAATTGTTCGTGCTTCTGCCTCTGCCTTTTCCGCCTGCAGACACACACGTCTCTCCTCCTTTAGCATGTAGCTCCTGGGATCTCATCAACTGACCCATCTTTAGAGCCAGTTCAGTTCAGAGCAGCTGGGGAAATTTAAGGCTTTAACACAACCGATAGAGCTGGTATGGGTGTGGATAAAGGATAAATAATATTCTGCAGGTGAGCTCTTTGAACACTTTTCCAGTCAATGGGCAGGACTGGGGATCCGAGGTGGATGGTCACTCATTTCACTGCTCCTGCTAGATTTGGAAGATGATGCCTGTCCCTGGGCTAACTCCTTTCACCTTGAGACTTCCATTGGGAAGATTTCGGCTTTGAGAACTGGCCTCCAGAGCTGCCTTTTGCTGGCATTGCCAGCAAAGCTGATTACAGAACAGAGTGGTTGACCAAACCGAGCAGTGGTGGAGCACCACATTTGGGGGCACAAAGTCCTGCTTCTTCAAAAGGGTATCCCATTTGAAAAACTAATTGCAAATTTCCAGGAGCTTCTAGAGACGACCCACGCTGCCTGCACCAACACAGCCAAGAGGAGCTTGCTCTTGGCTTTAGTCAACATCATAAAAAGCCTTCCCAGGAAGAAACCACAGTGTAAAGCCCCATGAACACGTTCAGTTCACCTGAAATATTTTGCTTTAGCCTTTTTGAAGTGACATACTGCAGGGAGAGGGAGTTCCTGGGGGGTGGCAATGCAAGGTATGTCAGGGCAGGGCCACTGTCTCCAGGGGTTTTAGATGCCTCTTGCAGCAGTGGGCGACCACAGATATGCAGCTCCCTCGGCCAGCTGGGATTCCAAGTGTACGAGGTGGCATTTGCCAGGTGCAGAGCAAATGGCCGTGCATGGGCAGGGAGCCCAGCTTTAGTCCCCCTGGAGACTTGGTGATGATGTTTATCGAGATCACCCTGTGTATTACATAGACATCTTAATAAACAGGCAATTCAGTTCCATCTTGGGTCTCATTCCTCTGAGCATCCTGCAGGCTCACACTGGGGAAGCAAATGCTCATGAACAGGAGATTCAATCCATCCCCCTCAAGACCTGATTTTGGACAACCCCTGACCGTGTCACTGGAGTTGGGCTCAGGACTGTCCATGGTCCTCTGGAAGGAAACGCACCCTGGGGGTCTCTGAAATCCTCCTTAATAAATGCACTAAGCAACAAGTAAATACTATCAACAGTGTGTTACGAAAGCAGATTGAGTGGCAAATTACGGTGCAGCAATGCCATTAAAGAGGTTTAATTAGTTTGGCTCTTTCGCGTGCCTTTTTGAGTACTAAGGCACGTATAACGTATGTACATGTGCAGTGCAATTCATGCACCTCATGCTCTTAACTTCAACCTCATTTCCACTTCAAAGCTAAGGAGAAAACCCTCTTGTTTCTGAGGAAGGCACTAGATTAGATATCAAAAAGGAGAGAGAAGTGCCTCCTGAAATGACTGAACCTTTTCTCATCCAGGAGCAAGGCTGCTGCCACAGCCAAGCCAGCGAGGAGACGTGGCCGGGCACAGCCAGAGCCTTTGCTGCTCTGCATCCCTCCGTCCTGCAGAGCCTGCGAGTGGCTGTGGGTTAAACTTCCTTCCAGCTGCCTCAGACTGTCAAGCGATCAACGTTTCTGTGCAGCATGAAACGTTGGGCAGTAGCAGAGCTTTGGGAAGCCCAACGAGATCAGCGGTATGAAGCAGGTTGCTTTAGGCCCTCGCTCAGGTTGGTTTGCAGAGGAGCTCAGGGTGAGGGTCATGCTGCACTGTGAGCGGCTGAAATTGCAGGTTTAAAGAGTGACAGGACAAATTCCCAGAAGAAAACTTCACCTTTCAGTGGAAAAACATTCCCCCACCCATTGGTCTAGGACATCCCAAAGTTGCAAAAAAAATGCGGGGAAAAGAAGCCACTCCAAAGCCTGTACAAGGAAGGCACGAAGCGTGGTTGAAGCCTGCCCAGCCACCCAAGACTGAGGTGCCTTGCCGTGCAGATGGGCCCCGTCAGAGCTGGGACTGGTGGCACTTTCTGGGACCGCCGCTCTTTGGTGACAACGCACTCTGGGAACAGGGAAACGCACTTTTGTGCGGGGAAGAGGCTGGATGGGAAAAGGCGCTGGGAATAGGGCTGGGAAGGGAGCCGGTTGCAGGGAAGAGGGGAAGCAGGGGGACTGAACTCAAAGCAGGTTCTGGGGGTTTGTCAGGGGAGCATAGAAAAAAATTTTTGGAATTTTGAGTTGAGGTCAATCTGAAATATGTAAATCACGTGCTGAAGGGTGGGGAAGAGCCAGGTTGAAACTCAGGGTAGTTTTTAAGTGGAAAGAAATGCCTTTCCAAACTTGAAAAGCTCCCCGATGGAAATGCTGAAGCAAAGCCCCGGGCTAGGGAGAGTTTTGTCTCAAGAAGAACGAGAAGTATTTCTGCAAAGCAGAACGATTTCCATGGCCTGACAGGTGACGCACGCCTTAGAGCAATGGCCAGCCTCGTGATGGCCGTCCTCTGTGACACAAGGGGCTGGGACACAGATGGAGGGGGATGTCAAATGGCAGAAGAGCACCTGAAAGAGCCATGGGATCCTTGGCATGGGGGGGCCACGGGGACAGTGCTTGACACATCCATTTAGTAGACGTCTTGCATGCAGAATGGGCCAATCCTCCCAAGTTTGGGCTACTTACCCTTGTGGAAAACCCCTTTTCCAACTACAGGGAAAGTAAAACATAATTAAACCATCCCTGGTAATGCCTCCTGCTGCTGCAGCCTCTCCAGCCGTGGCCACGGAGCATTTTGGGAGCACCTGCTTGGCAAAACAGCTGCAAGAAAGCCCCTGTTTTCTCTTGCCAACCTCCCAAGCCCAATTCCCTTTGCTTCCAAGACCTCGAGTCATTTAACACCTATTAAAAAGAGATGAGTCCCATAGGGTTTTTGGACTCTTTTAACTGGAGAATGGCAGCTGATAACCAGGATTGTCAGCTCTCTCCTTTTGCACTTGAGCCTGGGGTTATTCTGGCAGGTCAAGGCCAGCCAGGCTCGTCAGCCTTATCTCTCTCCTGGGTCCAAGGGCTATTTGGGGACCTGGGCAAACTCTGGGGACAGCAGCAGGGGTCTTGCTGACCTCGAGGCCAGCCAGCCTTCGAGGCTGCAGGAGCAAAAGCAAAGTAAATACGCAGGGAGCAGATTTATGAATGTTGACCTCATCCTCACCCCCTCAATTGTCCTGCAGCCTCCAACGGGGTGAGTAAAATATGAATTTTAGTTTTGCTGAAGCATTTGGGGCTGGGCAGACTGTGGGGTGTTAGGAGGTAGTATCCAGCCAGGCTTAACCCATGGTCCTTGAGGAGAGAACGTGGGGCTGATAGGACAAAAATATCGCATTAAACCTTCCCCTCCTCTAAGCGGCGGCTCGGTGCTGCCGTGGCCCGGGGAAGGGATGCCTGTGGGCGACGTGGAGCCACACAC